AAAGTGCAGTAACGTGACATCAGGCCATCTGGAGCAATAGCGTGTAGCGATTTTCACCTAAAGTTTGGCATCTATCTCTTGAACAGTAGTTGCAGTGATGCTGTGACATAGTCTTCACTGTGTACCTATTTATTGTAACAATGTTCACAAATATCCTAAAAGGTTTATTGACAAACAGCTTGAGTACTGATGCTCCAAACTTTTTTTTCGTAATCATGTTTGTTGGATGCCTCAACATGGATCAAGACGTTTCCGGGCAGTCACCCCAGTGAAAATTGCATATACAAGTTGTTAAGCAAATTACAACAGATTAGCATTTCCGAACAGGACAAACTTATTAAAGGTTTTCCCTGAGATTTCCACCTTTTGTGGTATAAGCGATATGAGGAACAAAATACCATAAAACAGGTCATTTTTAAATGTTTAGAATACATTCAACAACAATTGTTCGGCCTTGGAGAAGGTTGAGCTTTAATTAGATTCTTGGCACGCTCAAATTTATGAATTTTCAATCGAGCTTTTAATCAGGTTTTGCAAAGTTTAAATTATTTACAGCTCTAAAATGTTCAACTTAGTTACTAAGGACATAGAATGACCAAACAACTCAAAACAGGTTTGTCTGAAGCGACAATGTCATTTGCTGTTGTTTTGTGTGAAAACATTGTTTAAACTAATTAGCAGGTTACCGTCCCAGCAACCTCTTGACTCATTCAAATACGATAGCTCTAGTACCATCTATCACCATAACCGTCCTCTGCCAGAGTAAGTAGCAGCTATCTGCTTGAACTGTGAATCTATCTAAGTTCGATTAGAAGCCTAGTTCTCACTGTGATGCTGCCCGACCAACCGATGGCCTAGCATGTTTATGCTTACAGACAATCATCAGCACGTCTAAGGTTGGCCTCAAGTAGGGCAAACGAAGGCAGAGCAAATTATCCTGTCATCTACCTCAACAGATGATAGTTGCTCTGCTTTCGTTCTTTGGCCTATCTGAGGCCAAGGCGAGACCATGCTGCTGATCGCCAATAAACATGAAGCAGCTATATACTGCTGGTCCTTGGTTGATGGATGAACAAAAGCAGTATTGTTAGTTTTCATTGGGAAGCAGACTATTTTCGCTGTATCGCCAGAGCCGACGGCATCAAGCGGTCTCAGTGACGACTCAGCTATCGATGCAAACAGTTAGGAAGACAGCTTGCTATTCACTTTCGCAGCGATCGCTTCTCGAAATAGATGGCACTTGCTCATATTTGGATATACCTTATACCTCCGACAGAGTACTCATTGGTCTACCTTTGTTCGTGTCCTACGTTAGACCAAGCTTAGACCGTGCCGATGATTGGCTGTAAGCAGAACAGCTGTTGGTTGGTCGGGCAGACGAAAGCAGTGTTATTACTCTTGATTCACGTTAAGGGGCACAAAAAAATCTACTTGGAAATTATTTTCATGAAAGCGAGGTTTTTGACAATTGGCAAGGCAGTGAAAAAAAATCGTTTCACTTGTACGCCGCTGTATTCACGTCAAATTGACCCGAGAGCTACCGGTTCTATGCAATCTCGTTATTGGACACGGTTAGCCGACCTAGACCGTCCATTATTTTCAGCAAAATAGGCCTATTGGGCCTACAAGCACCGGCAACGCGGTACTAGTATGGATAAAACTGCCCGCTGGCCGTAAACTGTCCTCAGTAACGCGTGCGGCACGCGTACAAGTATAAACACCAGTGATAACGTAGTGAAAGAAAGGAAGTGCCACACGCACATCACAAGGACGAATCTGAAGAGCTGTGGTCCATAACCAGGAAGAGAGAAGCGGACTGTACCAAGACGTACCAGGTGAGTTCCAAGCTGAATATTGCTTCAGAAAGATTACTTCCATTTGATACTAAAAGATGTAAACAATTGCAGTTTTGGATTCTCAATATCAAGCAGATGCAGTATGTCTTTCTATACTAGATGTGGCGTACCCTACCACTAAAAATCCGAGCTGTTTGAAATTTGGAAAATAAAGGTTTCAACCGTTCATATACCTAGTCAGCAAAATAAAATCAAGTATTTAATTGTATTTGTACAAACTCCCTAAACAGTGTTACTGTTCCAGAACGTGGATTCCAAGTATAGAAAATGAGGAATTCAGAAAATGTTTATATACGCAGATTCTGAGCTCAGCACTTCTCAGATATTTTCAAGCCCAAAAACAATAATAACATCCCGTAAATTTTATACAGGTGTATCATATCTGAAAACCACAGCGGAGTTCGGATGTTTCCTTGTTTCTTTTTGTACGAAAAAATCTTGGAAACATCATCTGCGGCATTGTTTACGCTAGTCTTGGATCAAAATGCAAGCACGAGTAGTACCTCCAAATCTACTGGGGAGTAAGGAAGTATCATTTTCTCTCAAAAACTAAAGAATACTTTCATGTAGGGCATTTCATATGAATAAGGGTCATCAGACTGATATCTTATAATAATAAAGACCTTTTCGTCATGGCGATAGTAGTAAGTCTAATAACAACCTGCAGCCAGATCTCCACAATTGTTCCAGCTCTACTGTTTGACCTACAGAGGACTACGAGTATTAGACCAATCGATGAGGCCTTCCGAGAAGTATGTGTCAGAAATAATTTAAAAAACTTCAAATCCTAAAAGTGTCGGATCCATAAAAGGTTTTTTCGGCCCTAGAAGTAAGCCCAATTTCAAGCTAATTGCATCTATTATGTATTTTACGCTTTCATCGACATTTTCCCTTTCACTCAGTACTTGTTTGTTTTAAAGCGCTCAAGGTTCGCTATTTTGGCGTTCTTGTCCAACACTGATCATGCCAAGTTAAATATTTAAAAATTGGTGAATTTGAACAGAAGCCAAACTTGCGAACTTTGGGAGTTAAGCACTAACATAAAAAATTCAAAATACATACGTTCTGAAGCACTTGACTACAACATCTTCATAGACGCGATCAACGTGAGATTTGAGTTATTTTTTTGGGCAAAAGACCTGCTTAGCACCCTGATCTTTTTTGCTATTACAATATCATTGTCGCCCTTGACGTTGAAGATACAAGTGAAACAAGACATTCAAACTGATTAGGCACTACAAAGATACACTTTGACTACACTTTGGAATACTAAAAACCCTAAAAAGTGATCTAATAAAACTAACACAGCACGCAGACATCACTAGAAATACAAAGTGCATATACAGTGCTCTTCTTTAATGTCCCCCTCCCCTTTGATTTTTGAACGGATCAATTCAAAAATTAAAACTTGAGGCAATGAAATTGATGCGTGGATGCCATAGTTTAGATCCTTTAATAACCGAATATCGTCAAAGCGAATCCTAATGAATTCGATACTGATAGTATTCCAGCAAGATGTTGCTTCACCACACTAGTACAGACAAGTTAGGAATTACTTAGATAACAATTTCCCCGGTCGTTGGATTGGCCGTCGAGGTCCTGTGGAATGGCCAGCTCGCTCGCCAGATTCGACATA